ATTAGACCCACGTTGTATATGCCAGTTGCCATCATCCCTACATTAGACCCATATTGTATATGCCGGTTGCTGTCATCCCTGCATTAGACCCATGTTGTATATGCTGGTTGCTGTCATCCCTACATTAGACCCATGTTGTATATGCCAGTTGCTGTTATCCCTACATTAGACCCATGTTGTATATGCCAGTTGCTGTCATCCCTACATTAGACCCATGTTGTATATGCCAGTTGCTGTCATCCTTACATTAGACCCGTGTTGTATATGCTGGTTGCTGTCATCCCTACATTAGACCCATGTTGTATATGCCAGTTGCTGTCATCCCTACATTAGACCCATGTTGTATATGCCAGTTGCTGTCATCCCTACATTAGACCCATGTTGTATATGCCAGTTGCTGTCATCCCTACATTAGACCCATGTTGTATATGCCAGTTGCTGTGATCTCTACATCAGATGCATGTTGTATATGCCAGTTGCTGTCATCCCTACATTAGACCCATGTTGTATATATCCATTGCTGTCATCCCTACATTAGACCCATGTTGTATATGCCAGTTGCTGTGATCTCTACATCAGATGCATGTTGTATATGCCAGTTGCTGTCATCCCTACATTAGACCCATGTTGTATATGCCAGTTGCTGTCATCCCTACATTAGACCCATGTTGTATATGCCAGTTGCTGTCATCCCTACATTAGACCCATGTTGTATATGCCAGTTGCTGTGATCTCTACATCAGATGCATGTTGTATATGCCAGTTGCTGTCATCCCTACATTAGACCCATGTTGTATATATCCATTGCTGTCATCCCTTCATTACAAGTGATGACTTGTCATTGTTTTACAGTGCCCCATGTTTCACATGTTGTTTGTTGTGCTCCCTACAGTGCCCACTGTTTTGTACAAGGTTAGCTTGCTCGTCTCTAACGTAACATTTATGTTTAGTTGATAATTTCTATAATAAATAACAGACTGGTTTCCAACTGTCAGCTTATTTAGACTTGCCTCTTGGAAGCATAGAATTACTATAAATCCATTGGCTCAGCATTCAGTACAGCCTTGGAGCAAGGCTAGCGTGTCTGTGTCCCGTGTTTTATACATCAGGTACCAAACTCGATCACTGCTGTGATGTGTGTTACAACCCACTGGCCTTCTTGAACCTGCAGCGTCCAGTTTTGACTGTGCTGATTGGTGACGTTTGGGAGTTTTATGAACATTAAGGTGATAAACCAGATATCACCAAACAAGGCCCATAACTGTCGTCACTGCAGAGACCACATACCATTAAATAATCCCCAGTAAACATATCAAGATGTTAATGTCAGCCAGAAGCTCCAAGCCACTGTAGAGGCAATTATATTCCTATTTTATTATTTTATAGGATTGTGATAAACAAAAATAATCACTTGTCTTCCAACAACTTTTTCATGTATTTTATGATCACTAACACTGCCCTCACTCTTTGCTCTGAGTGAAATGAAAACACCATATCAGAACACGTCCCTGCATGCACGGACACACACACACACCTCACATCACACAAAATAACCAGGCAAATGAACACAAACAATTTCGCCCATTCTGTCAACATGGTCATGTTTTGAGGTGTATTCACTTCACTTAGAACAAAAGTAAGGGCAGTGTTCCTCAATTACCTTAGATTTCAAAAGATATATCTCAAGTGTTGCAAATTTTCCAGATAATTCCAAACTGACTAACTCTGCAATCGGTGTGACAACAGTGGCCTAATAACATGAACACAACTACATGTGCACATTGTGCAGCCTTATAACACGAACACAACTACATGTGCACATTGTGCAGCCTTATAACACGAACACAACTACATGTGCACATTGTGCAGCCTTATAACACGAACACAACTACATGTGCACATTGTGCAGCCTTATAACACGAACACAACTACATGTGCACATTGTGCAGCCTTATAACACGAACACAACTACATGTGCACATTGTGCAGCCTTATAACACGAACACAACTACATGTGCACATTGTGCAGCCTTATAACACGAACACAACTACATGTGCACATTGTGCAGCCTTATAACATGAACACAACTACATGTGCACATTGTGCAGCCTTATAACACGAACACAACTACATGTGCACATTGTGCAGCCTTATAAACGAACACAACTACATGTGCAACTTATAACACGAACACAACTACATGTGCACATTGTGCAGCCTTATAACACGAACACAACTACATGTGCACATTGTGTAGCCTTATAACACGAACACAACTACATGTGCACATTGTTCAGCCTTATAACACGAACACAACTACATGTGCACATTGTTCAGCCTTATAACACGAACACAACTACATGTGCACATTATGCAGCCTTTAGGTCAGGCTATTGTGCTGACCCAGACTACTGAAGTTTGCTGACCACAGGTAAACTACGAGGTGTGAGTGAGTGAGTTTAGTTTTACACTGCACTCAGCAATATTCTAGCTATTTGGTGGCGGTCTGTAAATAATTGAGTCTGGACCATACAACCCAGTGATCAACAGCATGAGCATCGATCTACGCAATTGGTAACTGGTGACATGTGTCAACCAAGTCAGCGAGTCTGGCCACCTGATCCTGTTAGTCAAAAGCATGGGCTACTGAAGATCAATTCTAACTCTGATCTTCACGGGTTAGACTACGATGCTTGTCAGGATAAGAACATAAAATTTTCAACATGGCTGCTGAGCAAGGCTTAGTGGCCAAGTGTCACCAGCTCTGGTTACCATTGTTAGTGAGAGTGATGAACTGAAGTGACCAATTGTCTGCCCTTATTCTGTGTGATATTCAACACTCTTTCATATTGTTTGTTTTATGCTTTTAACGTATGTTTTCAAAATTATGTTCAGATTCAAACTAAACAACACATGCCTCTTGTAAGAAAATATCTCTGATTAAAGGCTATTAAATAATCATAATAGTTGGACAAATATTTGGACAGTTAATCTGCTTCAATGTAGAGCTGACCTTGACCCTTTTATTCAAGGGAATAAACTCTGTCACAACCACTGTGGTATCTAGGTAAAGGTTGTTCAGAAAAAGAATGCCATCAGATAATGAGACTGGGTCACACTGCCTTATATACATGTTCAGGGTACAATCTAAGCATGAATGAGTTGGAACATGGATAAACATGTATAAGAGGGTGAAATGGCTGTATTGTCTGTCGCTTAGAGTCAAGCCAAATAGTGAGGGTCCTATCCTTATCGAGGTGGAGAACACCAAAGTCAAATAGCACTAAAATAGCACTTACAGAGCCATTTGGCCATAATAGAACACGGGTATAATGTCACTTTCAATATGTGGAATATGCAACCTCCTTCGGTTGTGTCATGAAACACAAATGATCAATCTAATCCTGAAATCGATACAGCAAAATATTCAAGTAACCAGTGTAAACACAGACATGCCTGCACATTAGTTGTTTGGGCCACGGAACTCTACACAGTTAATACACTTAGAAGCGTTTTCAACCCCACATTCAAACCCCATTGTCAGGGTACTAAAGCCCAAATCAGGCACTTCACAACCTGGTCAATGATATTAACAAATGAAATAAATACATGGGTCTGTAACCCGATACAAAAATTTCCACTGACAACACTGCTACAAGTATTAACAATGTAAGTTTCTTATCAGCTGGTCTGCTCTGCTTATCAGCGATTGGGCAGTTTGTGATATTTGACTGAGTTATCTGAGGTGACAGTTGGGCCACTCTCACGCACACCACATAAATTAGGTCTCTGGCCCACTTTGTAGACGAGTCCTACCTGTAAATTCAATGGGATTTGCACATGTGCAGTGTCAGGCCTGAAGTCAAAATGTGAGAAAGTCTGCATGGTTCTAAAATTAGGCATGAGCTACAGATCACAGTGGGTTTTCGAGTAAATTGTCCATTGTCTGAACACAACAGTCCCATTTGATCGACTGGTTGTTTCCTCACCAGATCTAGTACAGTAAACTACCTTTAGAATGAACCTGCTTATGACGAACTGACAGATATAATGAACTGACAGATATAACTGTTTTGGGGTCCTGCCACTTGCTATATATTTAAGTGTAACCACTACTGTTACAACAAACTATAAACAGAGGTCCCTTCGTTACAACTGTATTTTACATGACCCCATGAGCAGGGAGGTAGTTGGATATGACCCATAATATCCTGTTGGTACAGGTCTGTGCTTTACCCTGTAAGATTTAAAAATTTGTAAGGTCGGAATTAAGAACTAAAGGGTCTGGAAGATTAAACGACAATATCATTTTTTCAAAGCCCATTGTCTGTGAAATACTTAAACTGGACACACGACAGAAGTTGTTATAGGAGACATAGTTTATTCACTAAACTTCACACACACACAGACACCAACAAACAGATGCTCTCTCTTACAGACAGAGAGCCAGCCAGCCGAGCGAGAGAGAGAGAGAGAGAGAGAGAGAGAGAGAGAGAGAGAGAGAGAGAGAGAGAGAGAGAGAGAGAGAGAGAGAGAGAGAGAGAGAGCAAGAGAGAGAGCAAGAGAGAGAGAGAGAGAGATTGGTTGGACCATAAATCATTGTATGATACATATACAATACAGCCATGAGAACATACCTATCTCAAAAGTACTTTATGGTGATTGATCTGATGTTGAAGTATCTGTAACCATTACGCTATATAGCAGGTGCAGTGTATGTCTGCAGCAGGGACACAATCTATGTAGCTGTGGTTGGTACTAAGTGCTTCTTCCTGAAGAGTCAGATTCCTTCGTATGGAGGTCAAGGACACTAGAAACAATGTACCTCAAGTTAGACTTAGTGAAGACAGCATTGGGAAATATAATAATTACCATAAGCTGATAATACTCCCACTACTGCCATGTGATACCCCCTATATTGCTTACTCTCCTCACGCTACTGCCACGTGATAACACCCTCCTCATAATACGGCCATGTGATAACACCTGTATTGTTGACTCTACTCCTGTTGCTATGTGATAACACCACCTGTATTGTTGACTCTACTCCTACTGTTGCCATGTGATAACACCTCCTGTATTGTTGACTCTACTCCTACTGTTGCCATGTGATAACACCCCCTGTATTGTTGACTCTACTCCTACTGTTGCCATGTGATAACACCCCCTGTATTGTAGACTCTACTCCTACTGTTACCATATGATAACACCCCCTGTATTGTTGACTCTACTCCTGTTGCTATGTGATAACACCACCTGTATTGTTGACTCTACTCCTATTGTTGCCATGTGATAACACCCCGTATTGTTGACTCTACTCATGTTGCTATGTGATAACATCCCCTGTATTGTTGACTCTACTCCTGTTGCTATGTGATAACACCACCTGTATTGTTGACTCTACTCCTACTGTTGCCATGTGATAACACCCCGTATTGTTGACTCTACTCATGTTGCTATGTGATAACACCACCTGTATTGTTGACTCTTCTCCTACTGTTGCCATGTGATAACACCCCCTGTATTGTTGACTCTACTCCTACTGTTGCCATGTGATAACACCCCCTGTATTGTTGACTCTACTCCTACTGTTGCCATGTGATAACACCACCTGTATTGTTGACTCTACTCCTACTGTTGCCATGTGATAACACCCCCTGTATTGTTGACTCTACTCCTACTGTTGCCATGTGATAACACCTCCTGTATTGTTGACTCTACTCCTACTGTTGCCATGTGATAACACCCCCTGCATTGTTGACTCTACTCCTACTGTTGCCATGTGATAACACCACCTGTATTGTTGACTCTACTCCTGTTGCTATGTGATAACAGCTTTTGTGTCTAAATCTAAGCTGATTCCAGACGTCAGATGTTCAACTTGATGATTTCCACTGATCCGGGTCCAAGTTTGAATGATGTAACAGACAGACAGCTCCATGTCAGGGTGTTTAACCAGAGATGTCCATCTCACCTGCTCCACTTGGATCTATGTAGTTCCATTTGGCTCCAACAGACAACCTGCAACAAAATTAGGAACACTTGTAATAAAGACCTAGAGACATTAAACATGTCAGTCATCTCTTTTGTTTTTATATTTTAGCAACGGTACAAGAGTATGAAGACATGGTCAGCCTTTGTGGATCCTGGTTAGGCAAGGCTCCAGAATCCTACTGTTACTGTTGTGTTGACCAAACTGGATCAGAATATCCGGCTCTATGACTTAGTTGAGATTTACCTGGCACATACACATGATTATTTAGAGGCTGTCCTGAAAAGGTTGAATATTGCTTACTGTGCCGAAAACCAACAAACAAGACATGACTGGGGACAGGCATGAACTCCTGTTCTACCAACTGTCCCCTGCATCAGACATGTTATCATGATGTACGCTGTCCCCTACATCAGACATGTTATCATGATGTACCAAGTCCCCTACATCAGACATGTTATCGTGGTGTACCAGGTCCCCTGCATCAGACATGTTATCATGATGTACGCTGTCCCCTACATCAGACATGTTATCATGATGTACGCTGTCCCCTACATCAGACATGTTATCATGATGTATGCTGTCCCCTACATCAGACATGTTATCATGATGTACGCTGTCCCCTACATCAGACATGTTATCATGATGTACGCTGTCCCCTGCATCAGACATGTTATCATGGTGTATGCTGTCCCCTGCATCAAACGTGTTATCGTGATGTACCAAGTCCCCTACATCAGACATGTTATCATGGTGTACGCTGTCCCCTACATCAGACATGTTATCATGGTGTACGCTGTCCCCTACATCAGACATGTTATCATGGTGTATGCTGTCCCCTACATCAGACATGTTATCATGATGTACGCTGTCCCCTACATCAGACATGTTATCATGATGTACGCTGTCCCCTGCATCAGACATGTTATCATGATGTACGCTGTCCCCTGCATCAGACATGTTATCATGATGTACGCTGTCCCCTGCATCAGACATGTTATCATGATGTACGCTGTCCCCTGCATCAGACATGTTTTCATGATGTACGCTGTCCCCTAAGTACAGTCAGCTAAGTACAGTCCACCTGTGACCTGGCAGCATCCAACAGGAGACTCTAACACTAGGAAACGTACCATCAGGAAGTCAGCAGTATTCAACAACTATTTCCCTGATTAGTCCAAACATTTTTTCACATAAGAATAATTTCTGCCAAACAATGCTGTAGATCACACAAGCCGGGGATTAGTAACGTCAGCATGGTCCGCTAGTCTATTAACAGCAGCCAGGCCTTGTTGACTGGCTGGTAGGGTTAGCGGAATCTCACTTCATCATTTCCCATAATGCTTTCAAATGCTTTCCGCAATTTGTTTTTAAATTAATAAGCCAAGATGCCATTTTTTAGCAAAAAGGAAATGTGAAGCCAGTTTAACAAGTTATCATATGAACATATCTGATCACCAGGGTTGTTTATCAGCATAAAGACACCATATCACATTCTTGATGTGGTTATTAATCTGACACCCCAAAATTCAATTCACAGAACAGACCGCCAATAAGGCCAGACATATATTGACAATTTCCGAGGAAACATTTACCTGATCAACCAAAAGTTTAAGCCATAGCCAACTTCCCTATAGGAGCATTGACTCTTTACTCCTGACTTACAAAAGCTGACGGCTATCAGCACTAGAAGTATTGCACTATCAATACGCCAGAAAGAATAGTACAACTGCCTGTAACTGCCTGGGAGCCACCCTGAACGATGCACGGTCCACAACTGCCATGTTTGACTTTTATACTGCTATCAATCACCAATGAATAACCAGCCATTGAAACTAGCTGACAAGATCGGTATAACTTCAGGGAATTTAATGACACGACAAACTGTAAGTTGAAACTACCTAAATCCTCAATGGGGAAGGAGGACATGTTATTATATTTGTATTATAAATTATAAAACATTTATATTTCTAAATTCAGCTTGTAATTTCTGTACAACATATATCTAGAACTAAATGTATCACAACAACTAGGAAAGCATGCATGATGATAATTTGGACATGTGTAAACCCAAATGACTGGAAAACAATTTCTCAAGACAGAATTGGCTGACACCCATAAATTATCTGTGTCTTGGTGTTGCCCTCCTTGTAGTACCAGCTAAAAGAGTGATATTCAGAAATATCATTGATGGAAAAAATTATTACTGATTATCGATATGAAATATTGTCATCGATAATATCATACATAAACTGTTGTGATGACATTGTGTTTTGATTAACGCAGACAATGCACAAAGGTACAACTTTAGTCATCAGCGGCTTCTAAATTATGTTTAGGATGATATTTTTGTTATCCAAGCTTAAGTATGTCAAAGCTCAGCAATCATGTGAAATATTTTTATTTCTTTCAAATTCTGAAAAATATTTTGCTCAAAATTACTCCTGTTGATATTTATTGATAATCGATCAATATTCAGTTAACGATTATCGATCTCTATGATGTACATCGATCGTCTGCCCGAGTACCAGCCCAATATACTGTCAAGGAGGGAGGAGATATGTGGCTGTATTCCTGACTCTAACAGAGAAGTTGTAGTCCCACCTCAATATACTGTCAAGGAGGGAGGAGATATGTGGCTGTATTCTTGACTCAAACAGAGAAGTTGTAGTCCCACCTCAATATACGTCAAAGGAGGGAGGAGATATGTGGCTGTATTCCCGACTCTAACAGAGAAGTTGTAGACCCACCTCAATATACTGTCAAGGAGGGAGGAGATATGTGGCTGTATTCCTGACTCTAACAGAGAAGTTGTAGTCCCACCTCAATATACTGTCAAGGAGGGAGGAGATATGTGGCTGTATTCCTGACTCTAACAGAGAAGTTGTAGTCCCACCTCAATATACTGTCAAGGAGGGAGGAGATATGTGGCTGTATTCCTGACTCTAACAGAGAAGTTGTAGTCCCACCTCAATATACGTCAAGGAGTGGGGAGATATGTGTCTGTATTCCTGACTCTAACAGAGAAGTTGTAGTCCCACCTCAATATACGTCAAGGAGGGAGGAGATATGTGGCTGTATTCCTGACTCTAACAGAGAAGTTGTAGTCCCACCTCAATATACTGAGGAGGAGGAGATATGTGGCTGTATTCCTGACTCTAACAGAGAAGTTGTAGTCCCACCTCAATATACGTCAAGGAGTGGGGAGATATGTGTCTGTATTCCTGACTCTAACAGAGAAGTTGTAGTCCCACCTCAATATACGTCAAGGAGGGAGGAGATATGTGGCTGTACTCCTGACTCTAACAGAGAAGTTGTAGTCCCACCTCAATATACTGTCAAGGAGTGGGGAGATATGTGTCTGTATTCCTGACTCTAACAGAGAAGTTGTAGTCCCACCTCAATATACTGTTAAGGAGTGGGGAGATATGTGGCTGTATTCCTGACTCTAACAGAGAAGTTGTAGTCCCACCTCAATATACTGTCAAGGAGTGGGGAGATATGTGTCTGTATTCCTGACTCTAACAGAGAAGTTGTAGTCCCACCTCAATATACTGTCAAGGAGGGAGGAGATATGTGTCTGTATTCCTGACTCTAACAGAGAAGTTGTAGTCCCACCTCAATATACTGTTAAGGAGTGGGGAGATATGTGGCTGTATTCCTGACTTTAACTGATTGGCTGGCCTTACAGTCCTGGAGTAATCACCACTAGAACCTGCAGTGTTTACAACTGATATCAGTCTTGTCGATCACTCAGAAAATTGCTCTAATTCACCCACCTCCTGTGACCTTACTCTAACCTCTGACCCCTACCCAGCATGCTCTACTCCAAATAGAGATAATCTATTGATGTGCCTGTGAGTGTACAGATTAATGTCACTACAGGCTGAGAGCAGAGCTTACTGTGTGAAATGGAGCCATACTATGTCATTTAGGCCAGTTCTACATGGTTTGCCCCATGTTTACTCTCACCTAAGATGGTTTTCCTTGGACATGCAGAGATTGCCAATGGAGACAAAGGTGGAACTGAACCGACCTGTTTGTCACATGTACTCAGGCATACTCTCTATTGCCAAAATAGCTCAGTGTAAATACACTCCCTCATTATAAGGCTAAAGTGGGAGACAGGGGAACACATGCTCTTATACACACACTTTGCAATTGCCCATAATGGCAGATATGTGCTATTGAGAAAGGAATGCATGCTGAAAGAAAAATGACAGGATACAGTCAAAAAGATAGTAAGTGGTTCTATTCTGGCGAAGTGACTCATAATTTCATTTCTACCTAGTCACTGTTTGCAGGCACATGCAAGTTATCTAGCATTATCCAATGTCTATGCTGAGGCATGGGACCTGGAACACCGTAACAATCAAAGTAATTTACGAGAACCTAAAACAACAATAGAGACAGGGAAGAGAGGGAATAGAGACACTAATCAAAAAACGATTTCTCTGCGTTCTCTAGGAACACATGTTAATGTTGACCTTGTTGAGCTGATCATGCACTGAGCTGGCACCTCAAGATATGTATTATTGCCAGCATAGCTAGGAGATAACCTGCCAGTATCACCTTGCCCTGTATTATTGATTGAAAGAGCTATTTTGAGAGTATAAAGGATCCACTCTCAACTACAGGTTATTACTTATTCAACATAGTATTCTTTGTACAGGTTAGACTATTCTGTAAAGTCCAATTATGTTGTTCATTATGCATGAAGTTAATGAGGAGACAACAGTGTTGACAAATAGCCTCTCATATACAGGCAACAGTGTTGAGAAATAGCCTCTCACACACAGGCAACACTGTTGACATATAGCCTCTCACAGGCAAAATTGTTGACATATAGCCTCACACACAGGCAACAGTGTTGACATATAGCCTCTTACAGGCAACAGTGTAGACATATAGCCTCTCAAAGCAAAGGCAAGAGTGTTGACATATAGCCTCTCACACACAGGCAACACTGTTGACAAATAGCCTCACACACAGGCAACAGTGTTGACATATAGCCTCTTACAGGCAACAG